ATGAAATATAAATATAATATTCCGGATCGCAAAAGCTTTTAGATATCTGCTTATGTTTTTGTTAACTACTAACCGCCAGTTCCAGTGAGTGCATCACAAACGCGATTTTCACCTTCGGGAAATTATGCATTATAATGAGTAATAATAGCTAACGAAAATAAATGATGTCAAATGAGTGTGTTGAGTCTATATAGTGGGACGCCTGGATGCTATAGTGATTGCTTACGCGAGAATACAACCCATTTGGATAATTGTTACCCTTACAGAGCTCTAACAAAAATAGATTGCCAATGCCACAAGCCGCCTGAACGGAAGCTCCGCGAATGATACCCCCCCCCACACAACAGCACACACGCACACGCACGCACACACACGCCACTCACACGCACGCACGCACACACACTTACATGCACGCACGGCGCACAGCACGCACGCACGCACGCACGCAACACACACACGACACATATATATATATATATATATAGATACACTGTGCGGTGCATGCTCTGTAGACGTCGTTAGGAGAGAGGTTGGTACTTGTAGAAGGCTGGTCACTGCGCGTATTAGGCGTCGCTGATTAGCATTTGTAGCGATTAGTTAAAGAGTCAACGAGGCATACGCCAGGTGCCTCGGTAGCCATAAAGCAATGCCGTCGCATGCAGGCAAGAAACGGTGAGTACAAACGAGCTGGCCTGTTAGGCCCTACCGTCACGTCTCAAAACACGCGATATATATATGCAGAGTATGTCTGTGTGCTTAATAGACGATATTGGGGCCTATGCTAGGGTATATGAAAACACGTAACCATAGCCCACATACTGAACCTCTCCCGCAAACTTAAGCCTCAATCCAAATACTAATCCAAACTCCAATCCCCGATTCATGCAACCGTATCCTTAAACCCTGAGATAAAACTCATAAGCCAAATCCTAAACAAACCAAACGTATTCCTATACCTTACACATTCCGCCGCAGCAACTGATGCGCGCACACACACACAGCAGCGCGCCACACACGCTCCCCCTCCCCCCAGACGCATATATATATATATATATATATATATATATATATATTTGTGTGTATATATATGTATATCATATTCAAAAGACGAACGATGCAAAACGTTAACACCAAAAACTTATACTATAGTCTTATATAGTCTTATCTCTCCAAAGTCTCGGATAGTTCTTCAGTGTTCAACACATGTCCAATCTCTCATCGTACCTTACTCAAACTGCGTTACCTACATATACGTAGCCGCGTGCAACCAATACTAGCGACTGCGCGCATTATTTGGCTACATCTGTGCTCGTGTCGTTTTCTCTTACTCTCCGTTATACACACTCATACTCTTCCAAACCACTTAATTCTCCCATCTCCTGTCGCCCTATCTACGCCCAATACTCATCTACGCTTCACTTACATGTATGATACTATCATTACGGTGTATCACACTGCTGTCGGAAAAGTTAAAATGCTATACAGAACCAACGAG